TTTTAGGAAAAAAAGTTATATGAAGTACTGGTGATATTTTGACCCCATCTATACATTCCCGAGAGGAAAAGAGGAAGTCCAGGGACATCCTGTATATACAGGTGAAAACACAACATATTAATATTAGGTACATTGAAAATAAATTTTGTAACAATTTTTTTACGACACATTTTTTCAGCCTCGAATTGGAAAGGTTTGGTTATAGTAATTACATTATATAAATTATTTCATGGAACGAAACTAACCATCGTTCATTATCAGTGACGGCTCGTACATTGGAGAACAGGGGAGGCTAAAGTCATAAAGACTATATACACACAGAAAAGCCCGCCGGAGGCGCGAAAATTTTTTGGGGTACCGCACCTATTTAACGCAAAATACGTAATATTTGCATAAATGCGCAAACAAAAATTGAGTATTGCCGAAAAATTATACGTATAAAACTGACCATTAAAAAAACAAGGAAAAAGGGTTGTCTTTGAGTTATTTAATTTAAATGAACTCTTCTTAGTCAATAAATAATACTTTTCTCTTCTAAAATAACAGTTTTCTTAAAAATTGCTAAAAACGATTGAAAGTTGTGATGTACATGTAATATCAGTAGTTTCATCAATTTCCCATGCAAAAAAAGAAACACTTTCAATCTCCTTGCCTATATTTTCCTTAATAATATGTGCCACATTGTCTATAAGCTAATTTTGGATGGTTTTGAGGTGCCGAAAAAACGCTACCGTTTAAAAAAGTGCCAAATTGTGAATCATATTTGCCCCATAACATTAAAATTTCCTTGCAATTAACGCGATTAATCGAATCTTCGGTTTCATCGTGTCTGCGAAAAGCTTATTCTTGGGAACCCAAATAAATCGTAATATCGATGAGTCTTTCCCAGAGTTTTAATAATGTAAAATTAATTATCATAAGATAAAGACTTAAAATTATTTGTCAGCAACCAATGGACTATAACGTCAGATTTTTCAATTTCGTCCAACTTATCCATAATAAATGAAAAAAAGAAACTTACCGAAAAGTGAAAACCTGAAAACACCTTGAAATTGAAAGGAAACACTTTAAAAACACATTGAAAATATTACCAAAAAGCTCTGCTATAATACAATACTGCCTGTTTTATACACAAATAACAAATATTAATCAAGAAACACTAAAACGATTTACCAATATATTTTTCAGTTCCGGTCCGTCACGGCATCCTGTCTGAATAATTAAATAAAAAACAAACGCAGTTGTACACTAACGGAGACCAACTGGAGGGTAGCCTCCTCTAATGCTATAATTTCTTCAACAAAAATTATCAAATTTTATGGGGAGGCTAAGCCTCCCTTGCCACCTCTGACGAGCCGCCGCCTCCCTTGCCTCCTCTGACCAGCCGCCGCTGTTCTTCATTCTTGAAATGGCAGGCTACCAGGCAAGAAAATGTTATCACTATTGATTAAACAAATGTATTGTCGTCCAATGAAAACATTTGAGAATATCTATAAGCTTGTGAGCTCATGGAAAACGTGTCTTAATATGTTAAAATAGTAATTCTTTTCATCTTACCAATCCCCGGAGTACTTTTGAGTACTCCCCCATTTCTTTATTTCTAATAAGAAGTTTCTGAATTTTATTTAGAACAAATGTGTATTAACTGAATTCAACATTTAATGGCTGCCCTTCTTCTGTAAGATTATTAGTTAGTTATTTTTTAAAGAATAAATGTGAAAAAAATCAACTTTTGAATTTTTAATTATGATTACAATTTGGAGTATGTGCTTTATATAATTATTTATTATAATTTTTTTCTTGAATATTGCCATCACAGCAGTTTAAAGTATAACTCGAATATGATGAGTCCCACACGAAATGGACTACTTTGAGAAAAAAAATGAAGTTTTCAAGAGAGACATATCAGTATTTGCAAAATGAAATTTTAAAATTTGTTTCAACATTCATTTTGACTATTGATTTAAATGGTATATGTTCAGTCGCTTCCACTAGTTCATTATCAGAATACCCATATTCAGAAGCATATTTTAAAAAAATGGTTTTTCTATTTACCATAACTAACGCAAACTTATTTACGATACCAAGAAATTATCGAATTATAATCACTCCGTAGTATAAAAGAAAGTCGCTTTCCGCTGTTTGTCCCTATGTATGCTTAGATCTTTTAAACTACGCAACGGATTTTGATGCGGTTTTTTTTAATAGATAGAGTGATTCAAGAAGAAAGTTTTAACGTACATAACATGAATAATATAGTAGAGAAACACTAATAATTTTAGAGGTTTCTAATGTGATGTAAATGAAAACTTTTTTGTGCATACATTGCAAACACTGGCTGAACCCTACGAGATAGATACAGAAATGTACTACAGTACCTATTGTACACCTTTAAAAGGTCTACAAAAAAGTTCGCGATGGTATATGTCTATCTATTATAAAAAAAACATATTTGTTGAATTCTACTAATTATTCTACTTGAATGTTTTTCCATTAAACAGCTTTCGTCCTTATATGAACCACAACCTACAGAAGTCACAATTTTTACTAACTGAAGATCAACTAACTCTTACGTTTTGATGTGCAATTATCAGTATGTTTAACTCTGCTAAAAATCTGTATGTGAAAGCACAGATGCTAATGAATAAGGCGTTCAATAATGAACTATGATACCACTGAATATTTTGTGTTTGTTGATAAAGTACAAAAACCTGTTTCGTTCAATTTGATTTTTGGTAAAAAAAAATCCTGTTTGTGGAAATGTGTTCTAATGTTTTATGACTTTTTGTTGGCAGCCGAGGAAGCCATTGAATAGGTAACAACACAGAAAACGTAAGCTTTCAAAATAAATTTGAAGCATATTTATTTATTTTCCTTCTGTTTCTTCAAGTTTTGCAGGATTTTTGTATAATTTCAACATTTCATTTGGACCAATGATTTATTTTCAGTTCATTTTCGTACAGAGCCAACTTTACATTCGGTTCGGAGTTCATTTATATTTCTATTTCTTGCAGCACTTGCACAACAGACTGACTGGACAATGATTGTAATCTGGTTGTTCATTTGCGGATTCGCTAGAGGTGCAACTCTTATCAACTATACGATTACCATTGCCGAGTACTCATCGACTTACAGTACTCTGGAAAAGTTACCAGCCGCGTTTGGATTGCACATGGTCTGCAAGGGATTATTTGTGGTAGTGATCGGTCCATTGTTAGGTGAGACTTTTGTTTATTCGTGTTGAAATACATTTCCAAAACAGTTGAAGTTATTGAAAAACTATATATCCATGACAAATTATTATTATTTAAATTGTCAAATCAATGATGAGTGAACAAGTATCATTCTAGTTTATTTATTTATTTATCAGAAAGTCTCCAGTTTATACAATATTGGGTAAAATAAATATAGTAAATATTAAGATAGATAAAAGTAAGAGAAATACACAGGTTTTTGAGAAAAGTTTTAAACCCCCTCAGTGACAGAAAAATATTCCAACCACTACTCAATTCGTTGTAAACACTATTGTAATAGGACTATTTTGAGTGTAGTTAATATGATGCAATTCTGTACTGATAATTTTCAAATGCCTTTTTTCATCAAAAGTGTTTAAATTTAATAGACTTATGTTACTCCCCATTTGTAGAAAAGGCATCTCGTGATAAGAGAAAAATTGTCCATCGAATATAATAATTTAATAATTCATTCATGCAATAAAATTGCAATAAAAAATTAAATGGCTATAAATGTGAGTAACATACTCCGTAAGTGACTTATTACTTGTACTGAGACTGATAAGAAATATAAACTATATACCTTGTATAAAAACTACCAGTAAAATTAAGTGTTTATTACCTATGACTACTTTAATAATTGAAATGACAGTGAAATGAGATATAAAAAACAACAATATTGGGAATTGAAAATTACATGTCAGCGTCTTGGTGGCGAAAGTGCAAAATACAGATTGGATATAGGTTAAACCTTCAAGTAAATCTGCAAACCAGTTAGATTCGATCTTCAGTTTCGAATTAGTTCACCTATTTATTGAATTTTTTCTTGATAAATATTTTTGGATTTTAGTAGAGTGATTTGTGTTCATGTAAATCGTGCTAATAATACTCTTCAGTATGTTGTTTTGGAAGAATTAATGTAACAGCAAAAAAATAGATAGTTAATATTCATTAGGAAATTAATAAAAGTGTGGAAAGGACGGACTATTGTCTTCATACAGTAGGGAAAATGAAAGTATACACAATCAATCAATCAATATATTATTGAAGAAACCAAAATCAGGGCTGGTAGAATGTGGTCGAATGGAACATGAAATACCAAATGTTTCGTCGGCTACTGCGGTAGTCATCATCAGTAATATGTGCTTTGATTGAAAAGGCGAAGATTATATCTCAAAGTCTTTAAAACGACTGACTGACGAGTTACCTGTTCACTTGCCTTTATGATTTCAGAGGATGGAGGGAGTAATGGCAGGGATGGTTGTTGGGCTAATTAGAGGAGGGAAAAGCGATTTGTCCATGCAAATGCTCACTCCTGATTGGCCCGTATTATTGCTGGGTCGTTCTGATTGGTCCTTACTGTTACTAAGTTGTTCTGATTGGTCCACGTTGTATTCTAATCCATTTCTGGCATTTTGGAGTACTGGATATCAGGTTCTGTTGACCGGTATACCTTCTTCTTTCCTTTTTGTTGGGACCCTTATAGATCTCAATGGTCTCCCTATGAAGTCGTGCTCGGTAATGGCGTTGAATTAGGCAGGACCACGTATTTTATTACGTGGTATGTTTCTACTAGGACATATAGAAACATGTTATTGCTTATCAGTGTTCATAAAGTTCATCTCTTCACTGATATAGTAGAGCTTTTATTAATATCATTTCTTTTTTTAAGGAGAAAACATAAGCACGTTAGATTTGAATCGCTAGAGTAAATTCATTTGGAAAAACGTTCTCAGGAAGTTTATTCTACATAAACGCATTTCTCCAAACGAAAGAGTTTTCGAACAGTGAAATTCGAGGTGTACCGAGTTGAACCTCGAAACAATGAACAGTCACAGTCCGTCGCGTATATTTGGATACTTGGTGGAATCAAATGTGTCAAGTCACTTAAACAACTCCTGTGAAAGTATCTATAAAAGACAGACAAATCTCCAACGTTTCTTCGATGTTCCTGAGTATGAATGTTGCAAATTTAATTTCTATTTTTCAGGTTACATTCGTGATGCGACACAAAGTTTTCCAATTTGTCTCCACTCGCAGACCTTTCTCATAATACTCGGCTGTGCGGCTTGGTGGGTAGAGTATCTAATTGTGTATTTAAGAAACAGAAAAAAAGCATCTCCAAACACAAATACCACAACAAGCACATGACAAATAGATGATGATTCACTAACTGAATTCACCAATAAAGTATTAAATTAAAGAATGAGTAATCTACATCTGGAAGTCGTCAATGTCAAAAATGGATTGCGAGGTATTTTGACTCCACATTGCATAGATATTCAAGTGGCATTTACATATTTCTATACTTTGAAATGTTATTTTGGCGACAGCAGTTTTTTTTTATGAATTTCTGTCTAATTAAAACATGTTTGGTCATATACTTAATAATACATTGTTACTTAACATATTAATGATCTCAGTAATTTACAATATTTGATCTCAATTATTTTCCAAAATTATAAAATTCAGAAATGTTGACAATAAAAGATAATGAAAAAAAAATCATGCTTGCTCTCAATGAATTATATTCATAGATTCATGATATGCAAATATTTCTTTTCACTATCTTCTATAAATAGAACTATTTAGTTGTGCTTGGAAGATTCCTCACTCTTTGAATGTTATTGAAAATGTTTCTTGTTGAACCTTAGAAGTTCGAACTTTTGAAATGAAAAAAAATTATAAAATAGAGGCATCCAAATGATTTGGGAAAACAGTGAAACAAAACTTATGAGAGATGTGGAAATACACTATAAAAAATTAAATCAAATCAATGGAAATGCATTGTTGAAATAATTCAAACAATTTAAATCATATAGTGGAAAATGGAGAGATTTCCAACTATTCTTTACATTTTGATTGTTTGCTTTCAGGTAATTACTGTGATTACTATTTACATTTTTTTCAATCCATAAAAATATTTTCTTCTATTCTCCGACCACTCTACAAGTTTTAAAACAAAAATATTGCAAATATTAAGGGTTTTGCTACAATTTTTACAAGGAAAAACATTTTTTGCATTTTTTTCCATTTTCTTGCCAAAGAATACATAGAATTAAGATATGTATATGATATATTTTTAGAAATGTATGTGCAGGAGACATTATTTCATGTGACTTAGTTTTTTATATTATCATCCGTTTTCATTTTCCCAGTTATATTATTTATTTAGTTATTGTTTTGAAATGCCTTAATAAATATATGAGATATAAAAGTGTTTATTCATTATCTTTTTTGCTTCAATGAAACTCAATTCAATATAAAGCCAAAAGCTATTCAGACAGAAATTCATATAATCCAGTACCTAGACCTCTATTGGTATGTCAACACTTCTTGTAATGTCTGATATATCACAGCTGCCTGATGTCAGACGGGTATTCAAGACTGAACTCTGTTGGGAAGAGGAAGATTCATTATATTATGCATCAAATACTATTGTTGAAAATTGTCTTTCAAAAAAAAAACTTCGGCCGACCCTGGTTTTCTTCGATCTACTGCAACTTAGTCAAGATCATGCTCAACCCCATTTGTGTGTCGCTCTCGAAATTTCTGGAATGCTGCTTCTGTTCGAGAGTTGTTTCACTGGCTTTCAAAGATTTCTATAGAGTTATATAGGCTTAACCACGACAATAGAGAGCAGTCCATTTTAAAATGGCCGCCAGAGCAGAAGCGGTTTTATCTCAGCCTAAAGAAATAAATGATTACACTTGTAAACACTGTTTGAAAAAAGTAATAAATAAAGTGAAGTGCATCAAATGTCATCATATATTCCATCCAGGGTGTTTGAGACAAGCAGCTGACCAAAAAAAAAACAGAATGTAAACACGAAGCAGATAACTTGATCATTCAGAAAGAGACTATAATCACAGAAGAAATATTCCTGAGAGAAGAGAATAAATTTCTCAGGCAAATTTTACAGGATAAAGACACAATTAATACAGGACAAGGAGCACTTGATACTATTACTAACAGAAAAAATCACATTGCTTGAAGGAGAATCCCGAAAATATGATGCACTCAAAAGTAATTAACTAAATACAAAAAATTCAACCAAAAACATGTTGGATAAAAAAGTTGAAAAAATGAATAAGAACATATTGAACATAAAAACTAATGAGAGTAAAGGTATTTCACCAACAGATAAAAACCTAGCAGAGTGTAGCTGTTCGAATGAACAGAGTGAGTCAAGTGTGAGAAACCAGTTGACAAGCAATAGGGGCGATTCTAAGATTACTGAACAAGTGATTGCTGCCAATATAATGCAAATACAAACAGAACCAAAATGCAAAGAGTTGATAGATCTTACAAATAAAGATGAAGAAAATGTAAACTACTCGGGGTTCATAACAGTGATAAGAAGGAGAAGGAGACCTATGGAAGGAAGCGGATGTGGTGATGACAACTTTCATTGCAGACGAAATGCTGTGGATATAAATGGATATTGCACTGAAGTTGATACAGAGTTTTCTGCAATAACTATATTCAATATTCTGGAAGTATGCTTATATCGAACAGGTAAGGGAAATTTTCTGAATTTCATATCTTCATTGACTCTCTCGCTGAATTCACAACCCGAAAATTTAAAAAGATAGTGGTATTAGGGGATTTCAATGTGGACTTTTCCACTAAATCAGTAGAAAAAAAAATACTGTGTAACACATTGGATGCATTCAACTTCAGGTATTTAATACAAGAACCAACTAGTCAGCAATCATTCCTTCACTTGCATTGATAATATTTTGATAAATTTCGACCACCACTCAGATGTACAAGTTATTAAAGACGACATATCTGACCATTTGGCCTAGAAATATCAATTGCTATAGATGAACTGCCTACTGTCGAAAAAATTAATTTAATTAAACCAATTTCAAATGTTGGTGTCTCAGAATTTAGGTTTATTATTAGTAAAATCAAATGGTCAAATTATTACAAGTCTACTGATCCGGATTTTTTAGCAACGTTTTTATATATATATTTAGTATTGAATGTGTAGAATTAGTTGAAAGACACGCCAGATGAAGCCATTGTATGGCGAAACACGTGTTGCGTTTTTGTAAAACAATTTTGTTAAACTCTCACAATAAAGTGTTTTTGGAATACGTTAGTTATGGATTTTCATCAAGTATCGGCCGATTCCATCATATATAAGTAGTATTGTTTATGCATAAAAATAAATATAATAGTGGCTCCAGCATTCACAATTATGATACAAAACCCAAAGATATCATCAGGCTACCGAAGATGCATTATCAAAACACAGCCAAACAAACGGAGTTTTTTCCCATAAAAATATATAACACTTTGGCTAGTGAGTGGAGACCTTCTATTCTATTTCTAGTTCGGAAAGTGCAAATTGGGCTAATAAGGCGATATAAATTTGAATAATAGTTTTTGTTATATTGTCAGTCCAGTAGTGAAATAAAGCCTAGTTTAATCATACACTGTAGTCAATATCTCAGGTTCCGAGTGAATTTTGGCCATTTTATGAACACTCAGTGCAATCAGCTATTTAGGATGTGTTCCTCGAGGGGGGATATAAGGAATCCCAATATTGAATTAGGGTATGGTCGAAGACTGACCACAATCTTGGTTAAGCATCCCATAAGTAACAGCTGCTGTCATATGCATAAAAATGTGGTTATATATAGAACATGGTTTGAAATTTGGTAAATTAAGATACTGGCAAGTACTGTAATGGTGGCAAAATGTCATTACATTCTGCCAGAATTAATATAATAATAGTAAATAATCATACATAGACCTAGAAGCAGAGTAGAATGACTTTAATTTTTGGCTGTAAAATATATTCTGAAATAATCTAACTTTGCTATCTTGCTTAAAAATCGACAACTTCAATGAAGTTCCTTATTGAGAATACTGAACTTCATTGGAAAGTGTTTGAACTTTATGAGTACCAATCCTCTTTTAGTAATATTCTATTCTCCGGCCGATAGAAGTACTTTTCAAAAATTAAAAAAAAAAAAATAGCAAATTCTCAATTCTCTTCTCAATGGAGCCTACATCATAATGATGTAGACTCTATGTGTGAAACTTTCGATGACATTGTTCAAAAGATAAATGGTTAAGCATCCCATAAGTAACAGCTGCTGTCATATGAATAAAAATGTGGTTATATATAGAACATGGTTTGAAATTTGGTAAACTAAGATACTGGCAAATATTGTAATGGTGGCAAAATGTCATTACATTCTGCCAGAATTAATATAATAATAGTAAATAATCATACATAGACCTAGAAGCAGTGTAGAATGACTTTAATTTTTGCCTTTAATTTTTGTAGATCAAATTTGTACCCAATTTGATATAGCGTAAATAAAAAAAAATAAGTCTCTCATTCCGAGTCAAATGGCTTATAATTATCAAACAAATGTATCAGCATACTCTATTGTGAATGCATTTGCAACACACTTCAGGGGGTGTGAATATAGTCAAGATGACAATGATACGTACTTGCCAAGTCGGATAAATCATCAGTACTTAAACTTAACAAATCAACAAATTATTGAAGATAATAAAAAATAAGTTAAATCATTAATAAGTAGCATTTCGGTGCCGCTAGAGATTATATAGGTATAACTCCATTATGAAAAATCGCCATTTCCCTAAAATATGGAAATTGTCAAAAGTTTGTCCTGTATTTGAGTCTGGAAAAGTAACAAATGTTGAAAATTAAGGGCCAATTACATTAATATCAGTTTTTTCCAAAATACTGAAATTACACCATCAGACATAATTTATAACCATGTTCGTTCTTTGTTGTCAATTTTTCAACATGGCTTTATCAAGGCTCGTAGTACTGAAACTAATTTGTGTTTTCTTTCAATTTGTCTCAGATGTACTTGATAATAAGCGTCAAGTTGACGTCATTTATAAGGTGACGTAGTTATGTTGAATGTGATGGTATAAAATCCTCCTGCTTTGTAGCGAGTTCGGGTGTCCCACAAGGGTCTAATCTTGAACCGTTATTATTCATACTATTCATAAATGGCATTGCCCATGATATCACTTCTGATAAATTGCTATTTGCAGATGACATGAAAATATATTGTGAAATCCAAGATGAAGCAGACTGTTTCACATTGCAGGAGGACATAAATTCTTTGACTAATTGGTGTATTAGAAATAAATTGTACTTGAACACAAATAAATGTGAAATAATGAAATTCAACGTAAAATATTACCGGTAACATTCAACTATGTACTAGATGGTGAAAGTTTAACACGAATCACGGAATCAAACGATTTGGGGGTTTTGTTTGATAAAAAACTCACGTTTTCCAATCATTTTCGGAATGTAATATCAACTTCAAAGAGAAGTCTGGGTTTCTTGATATGCAATTGCAAAGAATTTAACACCTTTCATTCTTCAAAAACAGTTTACTTAACATTGATCAGGAGAAAATTAGAGTACTGCAGTGTCGTTTGGAATCTGTTCCATATGAAACATATATCTAGTTTAGAAAATGTGCAATTTCAAAAAACATGGTGCTTATCCCGAGAGGGGTTATAGCTATGACTCATTGTTGTACGACTTCCAAATGATATCTCTAAAAAAATTCAGGCAAAGCCAAGATTTGTGTTTTGAATATACAATAATACATGGACAGATAGATTGCTCGCCTTTACTGTCTCAAATGCTATTCAGTGTACCGCGTATTTCATCTAGATTCTGTAACACATTTCATATCCTGGTTTCCAATACACTGCATCATTTTCATTCTCCCATAACTACTGTATCTGAAAGTGTTAATAATGTTCCTAGTGTAGATATATTTTTTCTAACGTTCAAACAATTTAAAAAAGAGATTCTCCGTTTCATTCAAAATTTAATATTTTGAACGCGACCGCGTTGAAAAAAATTATTTATTTTTTCCTTCTTAAAAGTAATTTTGGTACATAAATTCATATAAATTATACACGAATAACGAATAATAAATCTTTTTACAACATATTTACAAATTACTTTGATCTCCAGGTGAGGTTGGTTTTACTAACAGAGAGAGCATGCGAATAGCTGCAGTCAGCTTGATTTTTGCAATATTTTCCAAACTTGCAGAGTTTCGGATGATAAAAAGAACATGTAATATTTGTGCATTTTGGAAAGAATTTACAGATCTGGGGTTGTGTTACAGGCAACTTTATGGATAACTTACTCGAAGTAGAAGTAATTCCGATGTGATTATAGGGACAATCTCTTTTTGTGCAACCTGTACCAAACTTACAGTTAGGATGAAAATATATACACTTCTCACCAAATCTACAATTCGGAAACATCTCGCAGTTAGCACTGGGATGCACAAACTCACACTTGTCTCCTTGCCTACAACTTGGCCAGTATTTGCATCTTTCCTTATTTTTAATGGACAACGGTGGACGAGCAATGGGCAGCCGGTCAGGTACATTCAATTTATTAGACACCTAAAAATTGGCTACATTAGAATAATGGAATATAAAATACTAGGGTCTATGAATTTGCTGAAATTTCAGTGAATGCACACTGAAAAGATCACCCCAAAAAAGTATTGCTCAATATAAATCTCTGTAGAGTTCAATTAATCAGTAATTTGTCATATTACAGTTTACATGCATGTCAGTTCTTAATCTAGATCTATCAACTAGTATTAAATTTGTTTTTCTAGAAAAAAACGTATCAATGGTATAGAATTTAATACACGTAAATGTCATTCTATAATTTTTTTACCCCCAAACATATTCCTTAAGCATTCTCTTATTGTATAAATCAAGTTCTACTCAATAATGTTGTGGAAATAAAATACTTGGAATTTACTTCTGGACTATTCACTTTCATTTCAGCCCAAGATATCAGCCACTGTTAATAAGTCTCTCAAAATGCTTGGCTTCCTAAGAAGATGCGCCTCAGACTTCACTGATATCAAATGCCTAAAAATTCTGTATTGCTCTCTGGTAAGAATTCATCTTAAATTTGTATCCTTAGTATGGAGCCCATCATATGCAAGTCACATCAATATGTTAGAACAAGTTCAGAGAAAATTCCTAAGATTGGTTGCATTTAAAACCAGAATTACCCCTGAGGACTACATAAACAAATATCCACAGCTACATTCTCTCTCAGCGGTCCCCAAACACTCCGTAACAGATAGGATGATAAAGACCTGGAATTATTCACTGTCCTTCATTGCTATTCAATACAGTTACATTTTCTCAACTACACGGCAGAACTAATCAGTATGTTTTTAGTTGAGTTTCAGAAGCAGTTGAATACGGGGTGGAATATGTAGTTCCTTAGAACGTTTCTCTGACGAAACGATCAATTCAGTGATATATATCAACACTCCAAAAAGGGGGTCAAACCGCGGACACGTGTTTCTGGCTATTGGCACCATCAGCACGGTGCAGCCAAGTGTAAAGATGTGCAATACTTGTTTGCCGAAAGCAGGAAAAAACACATACGCACGGAGTCAACATCAGGAGCCAACCGCACATTTGTGGTTCCAGTTAGAAGACCTAGAATTCCCAGGCTACATCTAACATGACCACGTAGGCAGCTATAATAGCTACCTGCGTGACATCCGGGTCCAGGTTATATATACAGATAGAGATTTTATCGAGTGTGTATGATACATCCCAGGCTACATCATGTTAGATGTAGCCTGGGATCTCTCAGCGATTCGGTTTTATCTCCTCAATCGTTGCAAAACGCCATCCTTTCGTGGGTATCTTCAATCTTGTGAACAGGAAAAAGTCGCAGGGAGCCAAAACTGGTGAATACGGTGTCTGAGGCATGATTGCCGTGTTGCTTTCAGTAAAAAAATTACAAACAGGCAATGACGAGTGCTTTATCGTGATGCAACAGCCATGAATTGTTTTTCCACAATACCAGACGTTTTCGTCGTGTTGCTTCTCGCAAGCGGCGAATAACCTCAAGATAATATTCTTTATTGACAGTGCGACCGTATGGCGAGAGCTCCTGATGCATTATATCACGGCCATCGAAGAAAACAGTGAGCAAATCCTTGACATTCGATCGAACTCTGCGTGCTTTTTTGGTTTTGGCTTTCCTGGGCTCTTCCAATAGGACGATTGGACTTTGGTTTCAATGTCATAACCATATACCCATGATTCGTCACTAGTTAAGACCTTTTTAAGTAAATCTGGATCGCCGTTGACATCATTCAACAATTCTTGAGCGATGCTCATAGGACAGGTTTTTTGGTCAAAATTCAGTAATTTTGGAACGAATTTCCAAAAAAATTCGCATGGCATAAGCCAATCGATATGCCGACATTCTCAGCAACCTCTCTAATAGTGATTCCATGATTCTGGGGCATTCAGGGCGAGCGTTGTCATTCACATTTTCTTGACCTTCTGTGAAAAGCTTGTTCCACTTGTAAACATTTTTCTGACTCAAAGTAAAATCACCTTATGCCACTATCAACATTTCAAATGTTTTTGAGCACTTGACTCCATTTTTTAAACAAAATTTGATGCAAATTCTTTGATCTTTTTTTTTGATAGCAGAAAATCGCCGAACATGCAAAACATTTCCAACTTTTATGCCTCTCATCAACAAAATAAACATGCTAAACATCTGAAACTGTAAACATATATTCGAGACTAGTGTACCAACATAAAAAAATCGCTAATCGAATGTACCTAGCCCGCGAAATTTGAACATTCATCTTATATTTTGAACAGACCTGGTATACTTCAATTGCATTGAAACAGTTTTGCAACAGGTACTTATAATTTTTTTGAAGGTGGTTGACAATGTTTCGTGGTGCATTTCATCAGTTCGGACTTCCATTGTCTAATATGATATAAATTGATTTGAAATCCCTGAATGAATCTGTAAAAAATTGAAAAGATGAAGAAACAATTTTATTAAGAAAAAAACTGAATTCACAATGAAATAACATACAACAACAATGCAGAACTAGACACTTTCCTGAAGCACATCAACAACGTAAGTCCTTCCATCACTTTCACAATGGAGAAGGACACAACAAATTACCATTCTTAGACGTATTGGTGAAGAGGACCAACACTAAATGGGAAACATCTGTATTTCGAAAACCCACTAACACAGGACACTATCTGAACCAGGAATCCAACCACCATCAATCGACTAAGAGATAAATCATCATGACTCTACCAGACTGTGCTTTCGGGCTTTGCGATACAAAGAAAGGTCTCGAAAAGGAACTAGGCATCATGAAACATGACCTTCAACGGAATGGTTACTCCAAAGTGATGGTGAAACAGGCTTTAGCTAGAAGACAGCAAGAGATCCACAAAGAAGAGAAGCCACCATAACCAGTACTTGTACTTCCCTATATCAGAGGATTGTCGGAAAGGATAAGAAGGATTGGGTACAAGTATAACGTCAGAACCTGCTTCAGATCTGGGAACACTATCTGTAGCCGTCTCACGAAAACCAGGCCACCAAACGCGGACTGTGATTCCAAGAATTGTATTTACCGGATACCCTGCGAGTGCGGAGAATCATACATCGGTGGAACTAAAAGGCCATTGATAGTTCGCATTGCTGAGCACAAGAAACACACACAGCGAAAAGAAACCAGCAAATCCGGAATAGCAGAGCATGTTTGGATTCATCAACATAACATCAAGCGGGCTCAGGCTGAAATCATCCACAAGGAGGAACACTGGTTTAGGAGAAAATTCAAAGAAGCCGCCTATATGTTGTCCAAAAACGCATTTAGCCAAGCTAGCGTAGAGATACGTAACATATGAAAACCTCTAATCAAGCGGAATACAACCGATTACTTACAATTCTTCTTACGGTCTAATTGGCTGGGAGGGAAATGAATAATTAAATAAGATTCAGTAGATTGAAGTGGAATATGGCACACAACAAAATATTAATAATTATCAGAAAAATAAAATGAGAAATACCTCAAATCACTTAAATAGAGTAGTGTTGTAAGAAACAACATTCAGATTTAAATTCTGCATACTCACTTTAGGAGACAATCTATCGAAAACTATTGGTGACGGTGATTTCTTCGGCTCTAATCTCGACTTAATTGAAGGCCTCAAACTAGAAACTTTCTTCTCCGATTCCGCTGGTTCTGTAAAATCAATCCATTAACGATGAATATGAATGGTCATTCTAAATACATAACATTGATATTTATTAAAATATAATAAATTGAATTCTACTTATTATACTGGCTTATCGAAATTTAATTTATAACACTTTTACCCGAAGGTGAAAATAATAATTTTCAAATGTGATGAATAAGAGAATATGGATTTGTGCTAGTGACCATGGAATTTGTAGTTTTGAGCTAGGCCTGAAAAAAGATTTCTGCTGGTATAATTGAATTTGATGTATAAAATCAACCACATCGGATAAAAATTGTCCAGCTTCAATACAAAACTGATTACATTTGTTCAGAAAGACAAATTATTTTATTAATAATCACGAATCAAAGAAATGTGGCAAATGTTATGATCACTTCCATAATGAGTATTTTGAAATGTTTGAATTGAATAACTATTTATTTCACAAGAAACATACAATTTGTTTCTAGGAGGAGACTTAACCAATAATAACATAAACAGTAATAAGTTCTACAGTAATACATATCAATGACAGAATACTTTATTAAAATGGACGATACTCAAATGTTGGAAAGAGGATTAATGGTAAATCAAAAGAATTTTAATTTAACCTGACGTTTCTGTTTTTTATTAAACCATATTCATGGGTGCTGAAAGTATACATATAAAATATCAAGTGGTTATATCACACGTTAAAATGTAAGACCTCGTTAGTCCTTAGCTCGCACAAGTTTCGACTTCTGAGAGTTGTCGTTCGTAGGGGTGCGATACATATATACATGGGAGTTGCCAACGGGGGCAGTTGCCTCCCGTTGTAGCTAGCCGCAAAGCGACCAAAGTGTGAGCAATTGACTTTCTAACCTATTAATAAATTCCGCAAATAAATTCACAAGGTTTAATGTATATTGTAGAAAGTATTGAAATATTCAGAATAACATTAAGATTTTGACATCTGTTTTTAACATCACGACTATATCATATTTGCCATTAAACAGTGTAAAAATATGTAGGTAGGAGGTAGGTATGGTTGGTGTGTGTGTGTGTGTGTGTGTGAGTGCGTGCGTGCGTGCGTGCATTGCATTTCTTTCTACGACAGCCGTTCACCAGCATTCACGTTAGTTTTGTATAATTTGTATGCGGCATATCTGAAGTAGAAGTTATTATTACGAACATACAATTTTAATTGGTTAAAGGAGAAACAGATTTCAAACAGGTTTTAAACAGATTTACATAATTACACCATTTTCATATGTTTACTTTCAGCACCCACGAATTAATAAAAAACAGAAACGTTAGGTTAAATTGAAATACTTTTTATCAACCATTGACCCTCTCTCCACAAGTACATTCTTGAAAATTTGAAATTGCGTCACAAAAACATCAAGACATACTCTCGAATATATTCAGTTTATTGCTCGTTCAATGAAAAATTAAATGGAAGAAAAAATTATATTGACTAATAGGAGCAAAGTATTGATTATCTCAGAAACCTGGATGAATGAAGAGATAGAATGCTGATGGGTAAAATTTGGAACCTCTGACGTGAAATTAATCTTTCGAAAACATTTTTCCTCACCAGAATAAAAATTAGAAAAAAATCAAATTATCGTCATCGCATGTTGAGAGACATCAGTTTTGTTCTGGAGAGGGAAAAGTGTTTTCAACAGAGATGAAATACTATTGCAATTTCGAAATTTTCAATTCTATTTACTCATCCAGAGTAAAACGAGGAAGAGGTACAGAAAATTTGTGCAGAAAGATATGGAATTTGAAATTATTGATATAGATACAGAAATTTGGTATGTTGCAGTTGAATTAACCGGTTACAAGACAAGACAAGACAATTTATTTTCCACTGAATGTTACAATACAAGTACCATACATTATGGGAATCGTCACTAATAAGTAGGTTATAATAATATTACAATATTAAAATGTTTGAAAAGCTTTATTATCTAAAAAAAATGTGAGAAATTTCTTGAAAGTTTTAGGTGAAAAACTTTAAAAAAATAGATTCTGAATTGGATTGTTTCATTTTTGTAGACATGAATACCAATATTTTGAAATGATGAACAAATTAACTCTTTTCCCAATATATGCCTTTTGAATGGTTTCACTATTAATAATGATAGTGTGAATATAAACAAATTACACGAACCAAATAATATAACAAAATATTAGTTATTTGAAAATTTTTCTAGTGGAAATTAATAAAAATAGATGATTTCCAACTATATCTGAATTAATGAAACTCTCTGATAAATTTCAATATAAAAATATGCAATACTGGTGTTCCATTACACATAATAATAATACATGACAGAATGGTGCTGGATACAGCCTGTAAAGTCGTCAGGAGTTCGGATCCCCTTTTCTGCCTGGTTCGTGACTGTGAGAGAGCAGGAACTGGAGCATTTCTCTTTAGGGCAGCTGCTCGAGCAGCTGATGAACTCGGTATAGTTTTCGACAGTGAACGAGGTGACCACCCACAACTCTGTTATCGAGTTGAAACCTTTCAGCAAAAAGCTCAGATAAAAGCCGCAGAGATCACCTTACTTCTGCGGAAACACAAGGATAAGCCAATGCATGGGGTCTTCTTCAATAACATTGTAGACCTTGGCTTATCAAAGCGCCTGACCTTCACTTTTCTCAGGTCGAGTGGGCTGAAGTCGGAAACTGAGGGTTTCATCATGGCTTGCCAGGATGATGTCTTCAATACCTCAGTCTACCGCAGTCGCGTGATGGGTATAGAGGTTCCTGACACAAGGTGTAGGGCCTGCCGCGAGGCGCCCGAGACCCTAATGCAATTGCTATCAGCATGTCCAGCATATGCGGTCTCGGCCTATATCCATCGACATAACGCGTCCCTAAGAGTGCTATATTACCATCTACGGCACTCTTATAGTATTGACGAGACACCGGTGTTGCCCTACGCTCCGGGGAATATTGAATCCGTTGTGGGGAACGAGAAGTGCCGAATTTATTCCAGCTCCTGGCGAGACGAATATCGTCAGAAAAGAGGTGAAAAAACGGATAAAATATCGAGATTTTCTCTTCAAACTCCGCAGACTCTATCCAGATCACTCTGTCAAGATAGTTGCTCTGATTATTGGAGTCCTTGGTGGAATGATGTCCTCTCTACTCTCGAATCTTAAAATCATACCGGCTTGCCGCACTAAGATTTCTGCCTTAGCCGCACAGATGCAGAAGGCCGTCATTCTTGGCTCACTGCGCTTGCTCAGGGCACATGATTCTCGGATCCAATGATCACTTACCCCACGGTGTGGGGAAGTGGTCATTGGTTGATAATGCTGGCGCGCCCTCCCGAATGTATCGAGGCTTCGGGGGATAGGGCCTGACCAGCTCACACTACGATAATAATAATAATAATGGGATTACTTTTATTTTAATAAAAAGATCATATATTTCTGGAAATACATTGTATATATTTATTCCATTATTTGAAATAAATAGATTTCCAAAATTTTCAAATATTAACTATGATAATAATTCATCTGACCATTTTTGGTACATATAGTGAGTCAAAAATATAAAAAACACATAAATAGGCAATAAGAAAAAAAATCAAGTTATAGACATGAAATTCAGATAAATAAAAACTTTAGACTAGCATAAATAATCATTCAAGTATTCCTGGTAGCTATAGTAGCATTTTTCAATAAGGACAGATTTGGACGGTTTATAAAACACATCATGAGATTTAGATCCCTTAATCAAAATTGGCAGTTTATTGCAAAAGGTAATGAAATAATGAAGGAGCAATTTTTCAAATTTAACTGGTTAATAAATTCTCTCGAAATTTCATATAAATTTGTTCTGAACATAAGGAATTAACTTGCCTGGTTCCAAATTTCAGATTAGATATCTTTCATATCTAAATGTTTAAGACAGCAGATTTGTGATTTGTATATTTAAATAATGTCTAGGTTTGTGTACATTTAATTTTGGTGCTGAAAATGGCATACATTAGTAACAAAATGAATTTATTATAAAGATAAATTTAGAAATCCTTCACCAAAATCTGTGAGAAGCAAACAATGAAATCAAATGTGAAAATTAACATAAAATACATTTCAGTGAATATATGTATGCATGTGAGTATGCATTTATATATGTATATGATAATCATTTTTGAGACTCAAAGTATATTCAATCATCAATTTTTTTTGGTGTTCTGTTTGTACTTATTTTATAGTTTTGAATAGTTTTTTCCACTACATGTACCTTTTTTAGGAAAATAAATCGTTATTATTAAATGTTGCTCTTAATCTGTTTACTGCCTTACCCAGCCTAGAAGAATATAAAATAAAATCGAAAATTTCTTCTATTTATTTCAAGAGAAAGAAAAACTTTATCAGGAAATCTTATGGCTTTTGACGAATTAGTGAAAAAATGGTAAAATTATTGTGATCAGAACTTTCATTGTGATAAATTGTGTTTAAGTTGATAAATTTGATGTTTCCCAAAATAAAACCAAAAGTATCTTCAGTATATTTGAAGAAATAGAAGAACTTTGTACCCACATTTAGTTGAAGTAAAAAATAATTGCTCTCTTATGATATTAGATTTAGTTAGATTAGTTATTTAGCTCTATAGACAAAAATATCTAGATAAAACTGTTTTTACTTAAAACAGTGAAATTTGTTTGCCGCCAATATTCTATAAATATTCCGAAATTATATAAATTTTTTTTATAAACCACATATAAATGTTACCAACCTTCAAGAGAATTTCTAGATGAAGGTACATATTTTGGAGTTTCCTTCACTACGTTTTTTAATGGTTTTGGTGTATACATTTCTCTCTCTTCTTCATCATCGCTGCTGGTCTGTGAGACCTTCTCCAGAATCTTATTCCTGAGTTTGACTTTTTCACTGTGTGACAATTTTCGAGCTATCGGAACATCCTCATCTTCTATTACAAGTCTTCGTTTGAGAGCCTGTAACAAAAAAAAAAACATATTTAAATATGTGTCATTAGTGAATCTTCACTTCCTTTTCGTAAGTTATTCCTGTTTTAAATTTTTCATGAACCTCAGAGCATGTTTTGGAATTTTGAAAACTCTAATTTCGCCCCTAATGATAATACAATATCAGACACGAGAGTAGTTTCTTACAAAAAGGATCAATTTGAGCACCATATTTTAGATACTTATGTTGATTTAGATCAAAGTAATAAATACTTAGGTATTTAAAAAGTATTGTTGTTTTTGAAAAATCAGCTGCTTCTTTCATAGATGATCTAGAAATGTCCTGAAATTCAAAATATAATTTGCGCTGAAAAACAATCTATTGTCATCTACATAGTTCATTATTGTATTTTCTGGATGTGTTTAACTTGTCAAGAATACACTGTAGTAAATGGACTTTCGAGAATGTGCTGAAAGCAAGGACGAATTATTCTAGGGAAAATAACAGTGCTTATTTAAGCATGTTAAGTTGCTGGGATAGAACAGTTCATGTCATCGGCAATAGCAAGTGAGAAGAAACTCAGTAGTATATAAAGTATGGTTTTTGCTTTCCCACACTTTTTTGTACGAAAATGGAGAAGTAGAAAGCCAAAACCTTTTTTTCCCAAAAATGAATCTCTCCCAAAAATGTACCCCTCTCAATTTAATAAATATCTGATCTGATTGAAATCAAGTTATATTATTTCTATGAAATATTACCTGCCGAATGCCGCTATTTGTAGCTTGCGCAACACTTTTTTGAGCTTCAGCTACAGCTTTGAGCAGTAGATTCTTATTTGGTTGCTGCATATTAGAGGGCAATCTCCTAGGTTTAACTTGTACCATACTTCTCACTTCTCTTGTTTTCAGTTCGTCTTCCAATTCGAGTTCTTTACATTCTTTTTGTGGTACGTGTATTTTTGACATCACACAAAGTCTACCAAGTATATTCTGGAACACAAATCAAATGAAATATGATATAGTTATATATGAAACCAATGTTTCTAAAACTAACCCTGTTTTCGGATTTTCTTGACTTGACTTTTTGATATTCTGGTGAGTACCTCCTACTAGATATTCTTTTTTTCCCAGAATGTCTCTCCTCGCGCCTCTCTTTGTTACTTTTTTTATCTCCTCTTCTTACGGAGAAGTCTTCTTCCTCATTAGAACTTGGTTCTCCGGAACGTTTGGGAAAATGTTGTTCTTGTCTTCTGTATTCTGAAGTATGTTGTTTCAGATCTGCCTCATCATTCAAAGGTTTTTTTCCTAATCTATCTAATATTGATATTCTTTTTGGAGGAGGGTCCTCATCAAAAGTGATAGGTGTATGCCTCCTGATTTTTTCAGGAGTGAAGCTAAAATCCATATTCTCTTGGGTATCAGCAATTCGCTGCTCATTACCAACTTCTGCTTCAGATTCATTTGTACTTTCTAGTTCAACTATTCTATGATTTTCTGAACTGGTACCTTGAGGCTGAAGTGATTCGTTTTCCAATGTATCTGGAAAAAGTAAAATACGTGAAAAAAATAGTAAAATTCAGTAAAAAGAAGAAACTGTCGGCGCGTTGGGTGCCGCGTTTGCTCACGTTAGACCAAAAACGTGTTCGAATGAACATTTCCAACGCTCTTTTAGCGCAGTTCAGGGGCAATAAATCTGAATTTTGCCACCATAGATGAAACTTAGATACACCATTATACGCCTGAAACAAAAATACAGTCCAAACAGTGGACTGCGAAGGGGTAACAGGCTCCAAAAAAAGCAAAAACTGTTTTATTGGGTGGGAAAGTTATGGCGACTATTTTTTGGGATAGTCATGGATCTATTTTAATCAACTATCTTCAAAAAGGAAAAACCATTACAGGAGCATACTACGCATAATTACTAAACAAGCTGAAGGCAAAACTTGCGGAAAAACAGCCACATTTGCAGAAAAAGAAAATCCTGTTTCACCACGACAATGCACGATTTCACACCTCAGCGCTTGCCTTACTAATAATAATAATACTATATTTATATAAATACAATATACAGGACAGGAAACTGTCAACACAATAAAATAAAGATACTGGAAGTTAATTATAAAAATTAAATGAGGCGNGCTGATGTGTATGCAACTGTTGAAAATAAATGAAATCCAACAATGTTTTTGCTACCAATTTTGATTGTAATCAAATCAAAAATAACGAAATTCGTCCAACATTCTAGAGCCTCCATCTTAGTATTTCTTAATATGAAAATATCATGAAGTTTTGTCCCTAGTAATGAATACCTGTAAAATTTCAAGCCAATCGGAAGATATTAGACTTGCAAGATTTGATACAAACGTGTACACACGCAAACATACAGATAGGTAAGTTGAAAACTATCTGGTTATTGTAGAAATTTTAATATTTCAATCTTTCGTTCGGTCAGAATAACTTTTATCTTTTCCTATTCCCAATCCGACCCTGTGCTACATTTTACAATGGCTCTATGATACTCTCTCTCTCCCTCACCAGACGTGTGGGAGGAGCTACCTGACGGGCGTGTCATTTAAAAGAAATTCATCTACTATTCTGACTCCAGATTCAAAAGTAATAATTAGTTTTCACTAGTCGACGGCTGAAGCAAAACTTTATTAGTTGACTTTGATAAAATTTGATATTTCCCATTTCGAAAGGCATAATGCAAGGAAATCAAATTCGTATAAATAACACATTCTTATTAAATTAATAACAAAATAAAGGAAACATTAAAAAGAAAAATGAGAAAGTCGTTTAACTGAGAAAATGATAGGCTTCAATACCGAAATGGAATAACACCAAAATATTCGTCAGTTTTGATGGTGGAATTGAAGAAAAATGCCCAAAAATGAGAGAGAATACTTTTTATTCATCTAATATTCGAAAAATATTTTTTTAATTATTTTTCCTTTATACACTCATACAATCTTTCCTCAATCAGAATATGAAAAATCGTTTCTGACTCGTTTTTTTTCAGGGATGAAGACCCTTAAAGCAAAGGTCAAGTTGTTGACCTTTGTTTTGTGTGTTGTTACAAAGTTCAAAGTTATCAAAAATCTCCTTATGAAAATGTAATTAATTTGGATAAAAATTGAATAAGTCAGGCTGGATTAGGAGGATACTGCAAAATATAACAGTATCATTGATTCTATGTCAACAGATAAATGCTCCTTCAAATTTGAATAGTGTTTTTGTACTTTTAGAATACATACAGAACAAATGACCATCAAGAATCTGTACTTGTTCTAGTGTGTGAAAACTGGAATGTTATTCTAATCTTTTACGAGTCAGAAGTTGGATAGTGATCTACGTGAGAAATGGTGGTGAAGCCGAGAGATTGAGGAAAGACCGAAAGTTCATAATGCCGAAAGAAAAAGAAAACAAGGGACCGAGGGGTTCCATCTCATCATCCAGTGATTCTTTATCATCCTCATTGAAAGTAAGGAAGTTGAAAACAATACAAAGAAAACTGAACAAAAGAACCGTGTCAGTTGCAGAGATGACACTTGCATACATTTCATCTTCCTAAACGTTTGTCCTTCTGGCAAACATCAGTTCAAAGGGTAAGGGAGCCAGGCTCCAACCTGATTGAAATCAAGACGACGTGCAGGTATAATGAATCTTGTATTTTCTTCATTACTTGGCGTATTGCAGCTTTTTTGGATGAAGAATGTATGGGTTATGATCTGTATTTTTGACTTCTTGGTCAATCTTTCTTATACAGCTGAAAACCATGTGTGAAACAAAGCTGTTGTAAAAAACCCAAAAGCCTACCAATCTTTGCCATCAGACTAGCGCTAATATATGTGTCTAAAGTCTAGACCAAAACTCGCGAGGTGTTCTTTTACTAAGCTAATGCAATGTTATGCAGTAGCTGAGCCATGTATTCCTACCTAACCCAGATTGAGATGGTTTCCTTTCTGGTGAACGTTTTAGCGCCAAGTTTCAAAGTTGTGGGGTCCGCAGATCCGCGTTTTGAAGGTACAGGATCTAATTTTGCAGGATTGCAATTAGCCACGCTCCAGTTGACAGATCGAAGGTGATTGAATTATTGCTGCTCAACTGCTAGACGATCAGTTGAAGACAGAAGTATACTGCAGAAAGAGGTTATCAAGAGAGATACCAAGCAATATTTTGATATTTATATGTTGAAGGATGAGAAAGTGTTGAAGGATGAGACAGTATTGAAGGACTGCAAATGAAAAAGCTATGTGGGTTATTCCTAAGTCTTCAAGATGACAAACTTACAAACTTTGTCAAGATGATTGTGAGCATTTTGTATTTAAAAAACCTCAAAGAAAATCAATGAAAATTATTGGTTTGCTGGTATGCAAAGGCTTGTAAAAAATATGTCAATGCTTGTTTGAACTGCCTTCATTACAAAACGAAAAGCAGAAAAGAAGGCATTCTGCATCCGAATGTGAAGGCTCCAATTCCTTTTCATACACTACATATTAGCTCGCACAAGTTTCGACTTTTGAGAGTTGTCGTTCGTAGGGGTGCAACAGCTGGTTCACGGAAAAACTGATTTTTTTTAAACAGATATAGATCATCTAAGACCATTTGTAATCAGCAGCAAAATAAATATCTGATTGGAGTCGTAGATAGATTCACAATGTTATGTTTCATCGAAGCTGTAGAAGAAACTACCAAAAAAATGCCCGTAAAAGTTTTTCTAGATAGGGTTTGTGACTGTTGAAATGGTACTAGTACAAGGCTAGATAATAAATGAAGCAGTGACTGTCGAGAGGGCTACAGCACAAGTAGAAGGCTCAGTCACGATAAAAAGAAGGAATTGTCGAGATGGGTACAGTATGAGTACAAAGCTCAAATAATAACGTACCCTGATGTAACTCTTAGTATTTTATTATATTAATGATATTTCTCTTCTTTCAGACAAAACTACTGTGAAGACGCCCGAGGATAGGCTATACGACAGGATTGCCGACTGTTAGTAAATCGTGGCAGTATTCCTTTGTTTGATATGAATTATATACCCCTTGTGCAAGTCGCCTGTTACGATAATGTGTATCAAAGTATTCGAAAGTGGATGATTTATAAGTACGGAGTCATAACGGAGAGAAAACGAGGTACCAGGTTGAGAGTTGATAGTCATTCCTGGTAGAATGGATCAAATAATGTAAGTATTATATTTTGTTGATTGTTGCAGACTATTTTCATTAAATATTATAGCAAATAACAGGGTGTTATTCTATTCTTTGACAAAAGTCTGTTTTTGATGGCATACAAGGGCTGTTCGATCGATGAGTACTTAGTCTCACCACCCGACAGCGCCACTATCGCAAGATAAATTTACTATTGGCTGATACATTTTCGTAAATGGCTACTATCAAAATTTCAGCCGAATTGTTCGCGTATTTTATAGAAATGGAAAACGACCAGTATCGGTCGGTGATTCGAATTTTGTTTTTGGAAGGGGAATCGCGCAAGAAGGGCGCGTGGATGTTGCATACGATAACTCTTCTCCTTCGATGGAGACCGTCAAAAATTATTTTAATGAAGTTCAAAGTGGTCGCATATCGGTTTTTGATAAGCTAAACCCAGGTACCCCGAAAACGGCTGCCGCTGAAAGATAACGTGACAAATATCCACGGTCTCGTATTGGCAGACCACCGATTGACAGTAGACATCTTAAAAAACCGCGAGGGTCATATCCTGCATGAAATTTTTAGCATGAGAAAGGTATCAGAGCGATGGATGCCAAGTTTGCTCACTTCTGACAACAATCGTAAGACCGCTTCAGAGCAGTGTTGGACGCTGTTCAAACGCAATACAATGGAGTTTCTATGTCGTTTCGTGACCGTTGACACCAATGAACAGTCGAAACAGTGGACTTATTCAGAAAGGTAAATGGCCCCTGTTTTCTGGGATTTACAAAGTGTGATCAACATAGACTACATGGAGAAGAGCAAAACTGTCACAGGGCTCTACTATGCCGAATTACTGGGCCGATTCGACTTCGAATTGCAAAAAAATGCCCAATTTGGCAAAGAATGAAGTGCTCTTCCACCAAAACAATGCACCCGCACATCTCCATCGTCGCCTCGACTAAATCAGGCTACGAACTATTGCCCCATCTACCATATTCACCAGATTTTGCAGCGTGCGACTTCTTTTTGTTTCCATACTTGAAAAAGCCACTCACCGGGGAGACATTTGAGTAGAATGAGAAGGTTATCGCCGTCACGTAGGCGTACTTCGCAGATCCCCAGAAAATGTATTTTTCAGACGGGTTAAAGAAGTTGTAACATCGCTGGGTCAGGTGTATTTTAGGCTAGATTCTTATCGGGCCACCCTCGTACAATACTCTACAATTACAATACTCTACAATTACAATACTCCACAATACAATTACAGATTGTATTGTGGAGTGGAGTGAAAAATTAGTCTAAAATACATAAACCTCTGAAAGGCTTCAGATTAGGCTATTTTATATCAGATAGTTACCATTAAAATTTTTAATAAATTTGACAGCTAAGTAAAATACAGTTGGCCAATGTTTGGTTATTAGATATTACCATACAGAAAAATTCTCACCTTTTTCAGATTTGATGTTTTGTAGTTCTGTTTCCAAATCGCTGTCTACTGTGATTCCCAGCCTACTTTTCACATTTCTTATTTTTCTCTCAATAGCTTTCAAATCTGCCTCACTTGATGAACTAACTTCTGAAAGAAGCGGGATATCAAAATCATCATCAGCCTGGTCTTTGTTTTCACTGACGACTATTATCTTTCTCTGATCTGAAAGTCTATTTACATTCATTGGTAAGTTATCAGTCAAAGATTTTTTCAAATCCTCTTCCCTTTTTATATTATCTGCAAGTTTTTTAGAAGACTTCTTTTCTTTCTTTACTTTGATATCGGGTCCATCATTTGATTTTCTTTTCGTAACCCTCTTATATACTTCTGAAAAATTAGGTTAAAGTTAATTCGTTTTTGCATCTCAAAATACTCACATTTGGACTTTTTGCTTATGTTATAATTTATATGATCTATAATAGTATATTATGCAACGATCATGTAATGATGGTTATTAAGACACGAGCATTAACCGGGATACGAAACAAGCCGAAGGCGAGTTTTCTATGGTATATGCGAGTGTATTAATAACCATTACATGAGAGTTGCATACGCTATTTTTTCTAAACCCGATAAATAATGAAAAACTATAAATATTATATTTGTATTGAACACATTTACAGTAATTAATTCATATTTTTTTTAAAAAAAACACAAACTTAATGGTATTATCATGGATATATGAAAACTATAAAGATTCTAATTATATTTATATTGAATATAACAACTGTAATTAATCTGATCTTTTAAAAATATTAAGGTTATTTATTGTGCAATTTGAAAAGTTTATTCCAGGTACCACTGATTTGGAAGTGGAAGGAATATTTACTTTTATCTCATTGTTGTTAGTCTCAATAGAGTTCAATATTGTATTGGAAATGCTGATTTTATTTTGATTTTGACAAATAAAGCAATTAGTTACTTAGGTTAGAATCTAGGACAAACAAAGGAACAGGATTCTTGATTGAAAAATTATGGGTTTCTATTGGTTGATAATCTGTATCGTTATGAAAAATCTGTATCATAATGGATATCATTATGAAACGGATTATGGTCATATAAGTGTATTGTTAGAGTACGGGTGTAGAAAAAATAATTTTTTGGCCGTTGTTTACAGGTTATGTCTGACGTTTCGTCAGACAAGCTATGACAGTATAAAACCATAGGCAAATTCCAGCATTGTAGTTTCTTGATAATGTATTCCGCAGTAGTAGACGGAACGTCAGACATAAAACCTGCAAACCACTGCCAAAAAAACGGAGAATAGCTTAAACACTGTTATCTCTGGCTGTGAAAGTCTACATTCGTTGATTTTAATATTTCCTATTGAACAGTTTAATACAAGCCAAGATAATAAAAATATTTCGATATGATGGGTACCTGCATGCATTTTCACACCCTTTGAAATTTAATGTACAGGGTACAGCGCGATGACCGTCGGTTAGTCGTATTTTGGAAAACAATAGGATTCATATACTGAAAATTGGCAAATATAGGTTTTTTTAATAATGTTTTATCATCTGAAAATGATGGCGTTTTTTAAACATTTCCATTATACCGGAAGTTGGAAAACTGCACTTGTAGTTCCCATCTTCAAAAGTGGTAATAAGTTATTGTTTGAAAACTATCGCCCTATATCGAAACTTTGCTCGATTTCCAAACTTTTCGAATCAATCATTTGTGACTATATATACTTTGATATTGGATCCTCAATCAATAATGAACGGCATGGATTTGTAAAACATTGCTCGATGGAAACCATTTTATTTATTTATACTGAACATCTTTTGAAGAACATGGATACAGGCTACCAGAAAACATCTGAAGTCAAGGACTTCATGTCCTTGACTCTAAGCTATTATTTGACTCGCATATTAACTATATTGCAAAAAAAGTCAACAAAGCTCTTGGATTTCTGATCAGGACTTGTCACGACTTCCTTAATACTAACTCTGTTCGTACACTTTACATGGCTTATGTGAAAAGCCAGCTCAGTTCTGCTTCAGTTATTTGGAACCCCCTGTATATTTCGTAAATCCTCGGCGCCTCAATACTGAAAATAGTATAGTGGAACAAGTTTTTGTTGAGATCAATCATGGAAAAGCTAATTTCGTTGTTTGCTGTGTTTACATTCCACCCTGTCCAAGAGATGAAGTGTTCATGAACCATTACGTTGAAGTTGATCGCCTTGTACAGATATATCCTCGTCATAAAGTTGTTATCTTTGGCGACTATAATTTATCAGAAGCAGAATGGATGAATGGGAACTTAGGTGTAGTTATCAATTCTCCAGATAATTGTAAAGCAGTGCCATTGTGTGAGAGTTTCTGTTACTTAAATTGTTTTCAAGTTAATGAAATTCCACATAGTCGTGGCGTAATGCTCGACCTTCTGTTTACAAATATTGCTTCCATGAGAGTATCATCAGCAACCGAGTTACTTCATCAAACCAGTATCCATCACGGTTGTTATTCATTTGAACTGCCTATTTCAAGCGAAATGTCTTTTTTGAGCTATGAAGAATTCATTTTTGACTTTAGAAAAGCAGATATCAGAGCTATCAATAACTACTTTGCTTGTGTTGACTGGGATAACTATTTGAGTAAAACAGATACCAACTTAGCTTTGGAACAATTTTACGATATCATTTATTCAGCTATGACTCTATTTATACCTGTTAAACTTAGAAAAAATTCTAGTTACCCTTTTTGGTATCCTTTTGAACTGAATGTATATTTGAAAAAAAGAAAGCTCATAAGTTGTTCAAAATAACTAATGATGACAGAAATTACATGCAATTTTCTGAATTGAGATCCAAATGTAAAATTTTAAACGAAACAATGCTATACAGAATATTTATCAAAAATCGAAAACAATATCATTAATGATTCACGTACCTTCTGGAAATATGCCAGTTTAGAAAATAATGCCAACTCTTATCCATCTTCAGTAATAATGGTATCGATATTGTAAATCTTTTTGCTAAATTTTTTGCATCTGTGTATGTTGAGTTCAACCACCAAACAATAACTAAGCCAATTTCGAATGCACTCAATCTCAACAAATGTCATGCTAGTTTAGTTAAAGTTTTTAATGAAATGAGTAAGCTCAAAAATAGTTTCATCATTTTTACTCGAGACATGTGTTTGTACCTTGAGTACAAGGTACAAACACATAGAAGTATAAGTATTCCATCAGTCATCTCCAAAATATTTGATTGTCTTGTAACAAAACAACTTTTTTGGCATTGCTCCAGCAGTCTAACTAATCAACAACATGGCTTTTCAAAAGGTAAGTCCACAGCGACGAATTTATTATTATATCAGAAGGATATATTGGATGCATTTGAGAAGCGTGGTCAGGTCCATTCAATATATAGGTACAGATTTTTCAAAGGCCTTTGATAGGGTAAACCATATTATATTGCTAAATAAACTTGAATTTTTTGGATTAAACGGTACCATACTATCGTGGATTGAAAGCTTTTTGAAAGAGAGAATTCAGTGGGTAAAAATTAACAATTATATTTCTCATACAATTAATGTTTCGTCTGGGGTTCCTCCAGGCAGTCATTGTGGACTATTGCTGTTTAATATTTTTGTCAATGATCTTATTGACGAAATTACCGATTCTAAAGGATTACTGTTTGCTGATGACTTCAAGTTATATCGCTCAATCCAATCTGTAGATGATTGTCTAATACTTCAAAATGATTTAAATATTTTGTATGAATGGTTTAAGAATAATTGTTTGCATCTCAATCTCAGTAAATGTCAATTCATTTGTTTCAATCGCTCGCAGTCACCAGTTACCTACCAATACTGCATAAACTCCCTCCTAATCAAAAGTGTAAATGAAGTCAAAGATCTTTGTGTTACATTCGATACTAAACTATCATTTTCTTCGCATATTACTGAAATCACACTGAAATCTTACAAACTTCTATGTTATGTATCCAGGTTAAGCAAGGATTTTTCGGCTAATACTTTGAAAATTCTTTTCTGTTCCTTAGTGAGATCAAATTTGGAATACGCCTCTATTGTATGGAGTCCTTATTCTATTCACAAACTGTCACTAGAAATAATTCAGAATAAATTTTTTAAAACTACCGCTTTTAAATTAGGAATGCAAATAGGTCTTTAACATAACAGTGACGTTTGATCTAATCTTCGTTTAACTCCTATGGAAAATAGGATTTACTTTTTTTATATAAAATATTGTCAGGGCACTTTTATTGTCCTGAACTACTCAGTTTGATTAATTTTAAGGTGAAGCAACGTGAAACAAGGGATGATACATCTGTCTTCATGGTGAACAGGCACGTGACAAACTATGGACACTATAGTCCTCTATCTAGAATTCTGAGAGAGACTAACGAGTCAGGTTTCAATTTTTTTCACAACTCTTTGGAAGTATTCAAACAGGAGACCAAGGATTATGTATTTTCTATTTAATTATGTTTTTACTATGTTGGTTGTTAATGCGATTATATATCAGTTTTAGTTGGTTTTTACTGTGTAGGGTATTCATTATATAATTTTGTATTCAATCATTGTAATACAGGGGTTTCCCGTTTATACTGAATAAATAAATAAATTGAAAGACTTGAATCTATACAAAGCAAATTCGTAACCTATATCAGTAGAAAATTCTTTCATAATCTCAAAGATCCATTACAAATTAAAATATATCTCAATCTAATACCTTTGGCGGATAGACGCCAAATAGTTGATATTAAGTTTCTATATGAAATAATAAATAATTGTTTGGACAGCAGTTCTATATTGAACCAACTTTTGATAAATGTACCTCTGTATAATACCAGAGGATTATATTCATTCCAAACAAATCAAAGTGAAACTAATTACTATTTGAATTCTCCCCTAAATAGGTGTTGTGAATACTACAACTCTGTATCCAAATTAATAGAAATTGACATCTTTTCTAATTCCCCCGCAACCTTCACCACATCTCTCAAACGTTCATACAATCACCATTTTCATATCTAACTATTGTAATTTGCACTACACTGCACTGTTTTTAAACACGATATTGCATATTATATATAATAATCAAATCATTTATTGTTATGTTCACCTCATCATTTGTGAATACTCTTTTTGGGTTTGTCCCGTTTTGTATTCCACTGAAAATAAATAAATAAATAAACTTCCTTGATTCAAATTTAACACACAGTATATTTTCATATTTTTGAATACCTGGCATAATTCTAATATGAGTTTATGTAATACACTCTATACCAAAAATGAACCAGATATTCATTTGTTTATTCAAAAATAGTAGTTATGCGACTCTCAAGTGATTCC